GCCAGGCGTGGCCACGGCAGCCAGGGCCAGGGCGCAGCCCGCGCGTTCCCCGATGCCTCTGTGGCCCTGGCTGCTCAGCACCACACATCGGGGGTCACGAGGGTGTGAGGGCTCCTGGCCGACTCTCCGGACCCAGGAGCCTGAGGCAGGACCACAGCCACCTCCAAACCCACATCAGCTGAGGGGAAGCTGTGTCCCGGGGTCCTATGTCCCCTGAAAGCCCAACTCAGCGTCTTCACTTGTACCCACAGTGCTGTGTTTTGTGTTTCTGTGGCTTTTTTTATAAAAGAAACTTTCGGGGAGCCCATTTTGAGACAGGGTTTTGCTCTGTAGTCCAGGATGGCCTTGAACTCACAGCAACCCTCCTGCCTCAGCCTCCTGAGTGCTGCACTTGGGGCAGGGCCTAGTTAGGACAGGCCTTCCCAGCCCATGCCCTGTCCTTACCTGCAGACAGGCCCACAGGTTGGGTCCCGCGACACCGCATGACTGGCAGGTCCCCTGTGGAGGCAGGAGAGTGAGAGGCACCTGGTTCACCTGCCGCTTGGGGAATCCTGGGTCACCAGAGAGCAGGCTCCGGAGCCACTTCCTGTCACCGTCAAGATGAAATCACGCTTGGATGAAATTACCAAGGTCTGTACCGGACAGACCCTTGCTCTCTGGGCACCCTGCTCTTCCTGAGCTGCACTTGTTACCTGGCCCTTCTTCCTTGCTCCACTCCAATCAGTGAGATAACAGAGGTGTGGGCCTCTTCTGAGCCTTGTCCTCCCTTTGTTTCTCCTCCTCCTACCACGGGGCAATGTGGATGTGATGGCAGGAGCCAGAGCAACCACTCTGGACTCAGAGATGAAAGTCACCCATTAAGAATGGCAGAGCCACCTTCCCTGACCTATCTTCCTCTACTATGTTCTAGGTCAGAAACAGGAACTTCTCTCTCACGTAAGCCACTGTATTTCAGGGTCACTTTGTCACAGCAACTTCAATTGTGCCGAAAATCATTTTGTCTGTTCATGTCTAGAGCACAGTTCCAAAACAAAATCCTGTAGCCGCTGTGCTGAGAGCTGGGAGGGCCCTTACACCCTGGGGCCACAGAGGGTGCTGAGGCTCTAGAAACCGAGCTAGTGGGACCCCGTGGCTGGCTGTGCCGCAGGTCCCAGGGGGGCCCTTTTCACTGAGGAGCAGAGGTCACTGGAGCAGGCCACTTGGAGACAGAGCCAGGGGACCGGTGAGCTCTGGACAGACCCTTCTGCGGCCACACCAGTCAGGCAGCCTCTGGCATCTGCCGTCTTTTACGGGAGAAGGGCAGAATGGAGCCCGAGCGCACCAGCTCCTCGTGTCTGCGTTTGTAAGGAGCATCTACAGAGGAAGCAGGAAAGTGGTTATGGGGGCAGAGCTTCCTGACACAGCACGGTGAAGGACACCAAAAAAGTTATTTCATCTTGGAGGCGACAGGTTGATACTGAGGACTGGATCCAGGACCTCTCCACTGTGCTACCTCCCCAGCCCTTTTTTGCGTTTTATTTTGAGACGGGGTCTAAGTAGCTAGGCTATGTTACTTCATTCCAGAACCACATTCCCTTTTCAGAAAAGTTCAATTTAACAACCACAACGCAAACACAGAGACCTGGGCACCCACTGGCTCCCCATGCCTGGCCTCCCTGCACCCACACAAGACCTGGGGCGCACAGCACAGGCCTCGCATGCGTGAGCGCTGGCCCCGCCCCTAGCACCAAGGCCAGGGGACCCCACTGCCGCCCCAGACTGCTGCTCTCCCCGTGGGTGGGGATACAGGCAAGAGCACGGATGCTTCCAGATGGCTGTGCTGGTCTGCAATTAGGGACTCTGGGACGCCCAGCGCTGTGTGCGCAGAGGCGGAGGAAAGGGGCCCAGCAGCCACACCCGGCACCGCCACCCGTACCTTCGACTTGAGCAGCAAGTCCTCTTTGGTCACCTCCCCGATGGAGTCCAGGTGAGGGCAGAGGTCCCTGGCGTCCCCCATAGCGACCTAGGCTCACCTGGGAGGAGACACAGCCCGGGATTAGCACGGCTAGAGGTCCTCGTGGTGTGACTTTGGCCAAGGCCCAAGCCCTCCTCTGAGAAGACGACAGCGGGGCCACACACTGACAGCGTGCCTGGCGAGCAGGCCCTGGGCGTGAGGCTGGCGTGAGGCTCTGAGCCTGGGGAAAGGAAACAGGTGTCCCGCCTGAGTGCGGGGCTGTCACCCCAGTCGTTATGTGGTTCGGGCCGGCCTTGAACTCACTCTGTAGTCCAGGGTGGCTTCAATCTGGTGGCGATCCTCCTGCCTCAGCCTCCCAAGTGCTAGAATTATTGTAGACTGCTAACTTAATTAGATCTATTATAGGCAGGGCTGGGGATTTAGCTCGGTGGTTCTGCTGCCTGCCTTGCAAGTACAAGGTCCCGAGTTCAATTCCCAGTACCAAAAACAAAACAAAACAGATAATATTATAGGCAGCTAGATAAGGCCCGGCCAAGGCAGTCCCATCTAGAAGCACTTGAGGCCCATTTACTGATGGCCAGGACTGGAAGAGGAGGAGCCACACTCATCCTTCCCCTGGGGATGAACGGCAGGGCTGATATTCCAAATAGACACCACCTGGATGGGGACCGGGACCTCCCGGCCCAGCGCTTCTCCCACACCCATGTTCACTCCTGGTGTGCTTCCCTCCCCACTTGATCCCGATTACAGCAATGTCCCCTAAGCGATTGTACTTGTCATCGTACTGGCTGACTTCAGCCTTGCCCCACCTTGAGCCTACCTCACTTGTTGGCCCTGCTCAATAAAACCCCTTTGAGAAGCAGGGGTCGGGGCCACCCACTTTCCAGGCCCCCTTCTGTCTCTCACCCAGAAGCTGTCTTTCTCTCAGTAAATTCTTCCTACTCTTAGCCTCCGCTGTTCCTAGAATTCGTCCAATTTCAGAGAACACAAACTCGGCACCCTGGACATCCTAGCGAGCTGGGAGGAGAGCATCTCCCATATTTACATGCAGATCCGTATTTCATCCGCAGCCTGTCCGCCCTACATCAGCGGGACCAGGGAAGTCCCACAGCTGGGGGCTGCACGGGCAGGGGCCCCGAGGCCTCACTGCTGTCTGGGGCAGAGGGAGAGCGTGTACAGGACCCCCCAGCGTCACAATTTCCTGTGGATCTAAGCTCCCGCAGAAGAAAGCACTTCAGAGTAAGCCCTCCTACTTGGTACCAGACACTGCTCTCTGGGTGCCAGGCCTACCTCTGAGTCACCAGGGCTCACAGCAGGCAGCACGGTCATGCTCTGCGGGCAGCTACAGTGGGGACGGCGACAGCGACGCCAGGTGACGACGCTGTGAGGGGAGGCCCTGGCAGGGACCTGTGGGGAACCTGAGTACTTCACGCTGCTCTGTCTGAGACAGCGCCTCGACATGCAGCCCAGGCTGGCCTCAAACTCCCAGCGGCCCTCCTCCCTCCGCCTCCTGCATAGTGAGGCTCCAGGCGTGCGCCACTGAGCCCAGATGCTCTGTCACTTTAAAATCATTCACTGAACTGACCAGAGGCCACGGTGGCCCGAACCCCTCCTGGGCATACGTATCTGTAGATATCTGGGAGTCCACAGGCTACACCCCGTGGGGACAGTACAAACACAGGTTCTGGGGACCGCTACAGGAGGCGTGGGCACCCTGGGGCGTTGCTGGACACCACTGTGCTCGGAGAGGGCTGCACCTTGCCACCCTATGGGAAGGCAGATCTTCCACACGTGGCCCTCAGGGCTCCCTCAGTGCTCCAGGACCCCGCGCCCCATCTTCAGCCACGCCAGGGCACATCTCAGTGTGGCCAAGTCCCCTTCCTGCAAGGCCACTGCCTCCAGCGGACAGCAGCTCGGGGCCATTTGACAATCACAGGGTTCAAGGTTCTAAGTTCCAAACCTCCCCCTGGAAGCCAGGTTTTTGGTTTTTTTTTCATCATTTCTGCGGAGGCCACATGCCTGCGCTAGTACCAGTCCTGTGCTATTTCTGGAGGGCATGGGATTTTAGTGGATTTGGTCTGTGCTCTGTCTGTCTGGCCAGACGGCTGGCAGGGTGGGTGCTGGGCTGTGACCTTGGTGCCCAGAAGCAGGATGGTGGTGACACGGTCACTCTTTTTTATTTTTTACTTTTGGAAGACAGGGTCTGGAAGTCCAGGCTGGTCTGGAACTTGTTGTATAGCCCAGGCTGGCCTCAAACTTGGTAGTGACACTCCTGCCTCAGCCTCCTGAGTGCTGGGATGACAGGTGTGCGCCTCTGCTGGGAGCCGCACACTTAATTCACAAGGGCAATCAGACTGCGGCTCCTGCAGCGTCCAGGAGCCAACCGTCTATGCCCCCCACACCCTGTGCACAGCTGAAGAAACAGGCAGGACTGAGCGATGAGGCCGTGAGCACCTCGTGACCAGGTGGGGACCACGTCCGGCGCAGACCCCTGACCTACATCAGGATTTGAAACAGGCCAGCGTGTGACGCTCACCTGTGTTTTCAGCGCTTGGGAGGCTGAGTCAGGATGATTGAGAGTTTGAGGTCAGCTTGGGCCACATAGTAAGACCCTGTCTCAGAAAAGCTAAAAAATAAACGGGTAGACAAGCAAATATGACAACCGGGGATTGGCAAACATTTTCAAAGGACCAGATAAGTAAAAATTTTAGGTTTATGGGCCACACCAACTTCGCTGAGCCTTTCTTTTGTCCCCCTGTCCTCAAACTCATGTTCTCTGTTCAAGGCTGCATGACACACGCCTGGCCCAAGGCATTCACCGCGGGGCCTCGGAGAGCGAGCTGACCGCACGCCAATCACCAGCAGTTTCAATGAGGCAAAGAGTAAGGGTTGGCCAGGGGCCGGGATTTAGCTCAGGGGTACTGCACCTGCCTAGTAAGTGCGAGGTCCAAAGTTCGATCCCCGTTACCCAAATCAGTTGGACTCCACACTCATCTACGTAACCAAGGGAGGGCGACATATTCCGTTTACATCGGGAAGCAGCTGCAATCACCGAGCACACTGACAGGGGAGGCTGGTACATAATGACATAACACTGCGTAAGTCCACAGCCTTTTCAAATGATCAATAATGAATCTTCCTGCTGTTACGGCAAAGGCTCCTGTGTTCAGAGCCGGGGCGCTTGGAAGGTGGCTGATCATGGTGCAGTTCGGAGGCGGGGCCTGGTTGGAGGTGGTCCCGGGGGCGTGGCCTGGGGTGTGGGCGGGGTCTGGCTGGAAGCGGCCACTGGGGCGTGGTCTGGTTGGGGAGGTCGCTTGGTCGTGGCCTGAAAGCGGGGTCTTGGCCCTGGCTCCTCCCTTCTCTCTGCTTCCGCGTTGCCCCAAGGTAAGCAGCTGTCTTCCCCGGGGCCTTCTTCCCTTACTTCCTGCCTTGGTGGACCATGGACGGAGAACCACTGAAACTACGAGCCAAATAACCTTCTCTTCCTTTAAGTTGTGGGTGCCAAGGATTTCGTTCCAGCTGTGGGAGAGTGACCAACACACCACCTAAGACATTGGGTCTGCACATGCCCCTCCGAGGAGGACCAAAGTGCAGGACAGATCTTGGGAAATGGGGAGAAAATGTTCGCATGAGAAGGGAACAAGGGAAAGGGTGGAGAAAAGGAAGGAAGAGAGAAGAAAAAAATAACAGAAGGAAAAACTGGAAACAAAGTCTTCCTAAATGAGAAGTGGAAGAGGGATTGAAGGGCGGTGAGGGCAATGGGAAGAAGGAAGAACTGAGCTACACTCTGTACAGGGACAAATTTCCTGTGATGAAGGTGATACTATGTACATCTAGAACATGCCGATAAAATTTAAAAATAAAAAGAAATTGAAGCCAGGCATCGTGGCGCACGCCTGTAATCCCACCACTCAGGAGGCTGAGACAGGAGGATCGCTGTGAGTTCAAGACCAGCCTGGGCTACACAGTGAGTTCCAGGTCAGTCTCATACATAGTTATCCACTCAGGAGGCTGAGACAGGAGGATCGCTGTGAGTTCAAGACCAGCCTGGGCTACACAGTGAGTTCCAGGTCAGTCTCAACTACATAGTTAACTACATAGTGAGACCCTGTCTCAAAAAAAAAAAAAAATCAAAAAACAAAAAACAAAACAAAAAGAAAAAGAAATTGGATCTAAATAGAGACCACATTCCCGGAGTAGCAGTCACTGGATGAAGACGTGCACTCTCTCAGGTTGACCTGTGGATTCACAGCAATTGCAATATCCTGGGATGTTGATTTGCTTGTTGTGAGTCAGGCTGTTGCTAGTAACCCAGGCTGACTTACTGGGGGTGATCCTCCTGCCTCAGCCTCCCAAGTGCTAGGATTTCAGGTGCGTGCCACCACACCTGGTCCGGCATTTTTATAGAAACAGAAAAGTAATTGTTTTTTTTTGTTTGTTTGTTTTTTTTTTGGTTTTTTGCGACAGGGTCTCACTATGTAGTGAGACTGACCAGGAACTTACTATGTAGCCCAGGCTGGTCTCGAACTCACAGCGATCCTCCTGCCAAAGCCTCCCGAGTGTTCGGATTACAGGCGTGCGCCACCACGCCCAGCGAGAAAAGTACTTCTAAAATGCACATGGAAACACAAAAGGCCCAGGACAGCCAGAACAGTTTTGAAAAAGGACAAAGATGAGGAACTTACACTCCCTGACGTTAAGACTTTGTCTAAAGCTGTGGTGACCAAGACGCTCAAACACAGATTGACAGCTCGGTGGAAAGAAGAGTCTAGAATTAGGCTTGCGTGTGTGCGACCAGTGATTTTCCACAATGGGACTAAGCATAATTTATTGGGCAAAAATTTACCTTTTCAACAGCGGCGGCACAACAACAAAAGCCACGTGGTTAAAAAGAAAACCAACTTCAATCCTTATCTCATATCAAGCATAAAAATTAATTAGAAAGGGACCACAGACAGTTAACTCCGCACTGGGCATGGTGGTGCACAGCTATAATCCCAGCACTCGGGAGGTGGAGGCAAGAGGATTCTAGCAATACCCTGTCTCAAAAAAGAAAAAAAAAAGTAAAACTCCAAACTTGTGAAGGAAAATATAGTGTAGGAAAAAGTTTTTTTTGAAATTTTAGAGTAGGCACGTGGCACAAAAGACATTAATTTAAAAAAGGAAATGCTAAAAAAAAAGGAAATGTCACTAAACTGGCCTTTGTCAAAATTAAAACTTTTCTCAAAAGATGTCGCTAAAAATATGAAAAGGCAAACCACAAAGTGGAAGAAAATGTTTACCATCCTTCCATTTGATA